GTAACTTCTTTCATTACATGCATTACATTTCCAATAACTTGGGTAAAATAAATCACTAAATTAAAGGCAATTAAATAATTATTGTAAATGAAACTCTGAAAAAGTCCCCCAGTCTTTCTACACAAAGATTGCAATTTAAAAATGAATTAATATTATGAAATTAAAATAATGTTTGAAGTGACAATACACTCTATTTAACATAATACATTACAATATCTAATTATATCCACAGTATAAGTACAATAAATGTTTGGATGAGGATTATACACAGATGTAATGTAAATTTTACTATAAGATGAACCAGTTTTTGATTACAGCAACAAATGGAAAGTTAAAATTTCACTACTAGTAAGATGAACGAGAATAACAATTGAAATATACGAAAGATCATAAGCTTATCAGACAAGTAACATTTTTGAACATCAAAAATACACAAGTTGAAGTTGAATTGTAACATGTAAAGTATTATACGGTTATGTAATTTAACCCTGGAGTACAAAATGTTTGCAAAGGGTAGTAATTTCATGTGGATAATATTCAATCACACAATATTCAAAAACTCCTCTGATACATTATGTTTTCATGTACCCAAATTTTGAGGTGATCTAAATAAAATTTATTAGTGTATATTTAGAACACATACCATATTTACTGCCTATCCATAAAATTAAAAAGAATGGCCAAAGAATTTTATTACCACAACCCTCACATACATGGGAGATGGAGGTGTGGGTTTTACCATTTTGTTGTCTTCATCATTTGAAGAAGAGAGGCAAGCACCATGCTCTGATCACCTTTAGCCTACATAGATTTACTGTTAAACAAGCGACTAAATTGACAGTACCGGTACTCAGTGAAGGGAATTGAATGGATCTTCAAGATCATCCAATTAGGACATTGCTGAACCTAACAATCCTAGGATTTGAATGTCTCTCAAGCAAGGACGTAAGTACCTGAATTGTTATGCAATGAAAGTAATTGACTTCAAAGCTTTGTGGTACAAAACTCACTTTATTTCATACAAAGTAAAAGAAAAAAAGTTTTAAAAACAAGCATTATACATTGTCAGAAGAAGAAAAAAATTTTCTTCTTTCTTCTGACAATGTAAAATACTTGTAATGTAAAACAGTGGGGCTTCCACAAGACAATATTGAAAGTCCAATTACTTCCCCTAAAACATAAGATGTCTTTTCTACAATTATTGCCCTTGTTCATGATTTTGCTTAGCAATTTGTGATAAGAAATGCTTTTCATTGAACCTTTAATGAGTTTCCACTTAATATTTTAAATAATAATTTCAAATTTTCAGGAAATTGACATCACACTGCACTCATTGATACATTTTATTTTACTGAGGTTTTTGGTCATTTGTATGTAACAAAAATACTGAACTGTCACATGTGGGACTTATTCCTTTTTAATTCTACATTTTTTCTAACTTAATTTGTTTACATTATTTGAGACATTTGGGTGTAAATAATGGTATTTGACATTTTGGGAGAAATCAAGTTATGCATTTTATGAAGGAGAGGGAGTAGTAAGGATAATTCAAGTGATTTTCAAAACAAACGATAAATGATTATGGTAATTGACTTATAAGTTATAGCATGTGCTGCTCATTTCATGTAAATACTGTTGAAATAAAAAAAGGATTTTCCTACAAAATATGAAAATGTCAAATACCACTATAGTGAAACCCAGGTTTCATGGAACCCCATTTTAAGTTTCATGGAACCCTAGTTAATGTTAAATATTTCTGCTCCTATAATGACCACTATAAAAATAATGAATTATTGCCAATTTAGTTATATTTACTTTTACACATTACACCTGCAATTACATTACACATTTAAGGTAATGATTGCAATTGCCAATTTAGTGATATTTTACATTACACCCACATTTAAGAAAGTCAGTCATTTTCAACAACAGTTAAACCGGGTACCTAATGTTTTTGGATCAATGTTTGCAGTTTTCAATATACGTTTTCTGCTATAGAAATTTTACAATTCCCATTAGTGAAAATCCCAATTTAGGTTAAAAAAATTGTTGGTGTCCAGGATTACATCGAACAAGGTTTTAATTATATTTGCATCCGAATGACTTATTGAATAAATTTTTGAGCACTCACATGAATTTTGGCCTAATGAAAGTTACTTCAAAAAAATAAGTTGATATTATATGGTCTTAATAAATAACAATACATCATTCAAAATTACATCGCTAATTCAAACAAACCCTATGATTTAAAATCAAGACATTTTAATTCACAATCTCTCTGTTTCTGAAATGCAAATACTGAGTGTTTCTAACAAATTGTATTCCAGTGACCTTATTAAAATAATTGCAGTTGGTACTATACATCACACACACAATTGTGAAATTTAAATTACAAATATAATTAAATTTGTATATCTTCATTTGTAACTGACAGTATGTCAAGAGTTCAATATTCCACATGTTTCTAATCACTCGTTGAACAATGAGCAAAATACACTAATAGGTCAGCGTTGTTTTCCCTTTTTCTTTTTTAAAGTTAGTAAATTAATTTGATGTAGTAAGGATTTAGAAAATATTACCAATATTATACTAACTGAACATTAAAAGCCATTGTGACAGTACCATTCCCCTAAAGTTAATTCATTAAATTACTTTACAACACATCGTAATATATAAAGTATACATACAAAGTTGAACTGAAACATTAAAAATAAGTTAGTTCCACAGAAGGTGGCTAGTTCATGCACATTTTTTGCATTGTCCCTGACATGTAAGTGTTCTGCATATTTTACAACAGTTAAACAGTGCTCCAGGATTAGGAAACAGACACATGATTATCAGATGAAACATTCAATTAACATATCACATTTAACACAGAAATTTTGCAGACAAGAACAATTCTTACCTCCTCAGAAAACACATCTCCAATGCATTAATTGATGGCAAGTATAGTATAAACATCATGTATAACTGTCATAACATGACCTAATACTGAAAATTCAATACTGCTTTTGTTGTTACACTTTCAATATTTCTGCAGCTCCATATTCACACAGAATCAAAATATGAAATCTATATTCTTGTGATACAAGTATTCAGTAGAAAATTTCTTGAATATATCCCTGGCTATATGGAAAAACCAAGTAACCGAACTTAACATGATTTTGAGAAAATACAGTTTTTATTTTACAAAATATAAATACGATCATTTAATGACAATAATAAATATTTTTGCATGTTTCCAAGCTTTAAAGTTATCAACTGTGCCTGATAATGATCAACAATAATGCATAACCAAATTAATTTGTTTCCTTGTATTAAAAAATCACTTACTTGTTTTTTCCTTAAACTCTTTACATTGGTTACTCTGGTTTTCCTATTTTGATAATTATTTTCTTCTTATGTTTAGTGTTTGAATATTGTGCTCTGCATTTATCTACAATTTAGAATTTTTTCTTATTTATACATATGTGGTTGCAGGTGGCTGGTTACAAGTAGCTGGTCACAGTCCAGCCCTGAGGAAGACCACAACAAGATGGTCGAAATGTCAGTATCACAGCCTTCAACATGGTGTCACCTGGGCAGCCAAGTGCACTCAAACAACTCTGGCTGTGAAAGAATACAACTTCACTCAACATGCTTCTTCAACAAAGAAAGAAACCAACCCTGAGGAAGACCCCAATGAGATGGTTGAAACATTGGCATCACAGCCTTTGACACAACACCCAGCCAGTCCAGTACACTCATCAAATTTGGTTGTGTATCAGTTTCGACCAAAAATGCATTTACCTGTTTTTCCTTATAGCGACAGATATTATCCCCCAATTTTCTTGGTACCAACTTTCTGTTTTTTCAATTCATTATATACAACAAAAGGCATTAACATTAAAATATCTTTCATAATTACAAATATTATACATTTACGGTAATTATATATTTTGTAAGACAACATGTCGATAATACACTCATTGGTAAAAGATACAAACTGCTATTACTGCATTTCACCACAAAACACTTATTCCTTTTCAGAGGCAAATAAGCAGGTCCAAAACGAACCTTTCCTTCTTATTTTTCTATACTGACATTTCAATAACAATATCAATATCTACTATAATAAAACACTAATGGAAAATACGGATTCATCAATAAATAATGTTGAAGCAGAAGTGATCCTTCATTACTTCAACATAAAGTAAGAATAAAGATCTGACTCAAGAAAATGGAATGGAATGGGAAAACACATTGCAATATGATAGAGCAGCCATACACAACACACAAAAGAGGAGATTAACCTGCTATCATTGTTAACTCTTAAGGAGTCATCTGGATTGTCTACAACAACTCAGTTTTATGAACTCCCTGTTTTTAGGAAAGCAGTGTCACATGAATTGTTATGCCTTGGAATACCTTTCAAGGAAGGGATTCTGTTGCCTTTTGTTGAAGTGAAATAAAATTTGCCAAATCTCTGGCAAACAACATCAATTATAGTTGAGGTGTCACCAACACAATGCATAACTTTTTCTGAAGTATGGGCTGGGTTTTTGTGAGGAACCATAAATTGTGAAAATTGTGTTACAACTACATTAAATTGGTTTTTGAAGTTAAATAATAGAAACAAATCATTTTAGGTACAAACACAAAATGTAAATGACACATATGCTATATAACAATTCACCAGTTCATTAAAAATATATTTAGAATTTAAATAATATAAATTATTTGAAAATGAAGCATCGGTTTTTATTTAGTTCTTTCTTTCCAGCTGAATTGTCATTTCGGCACATATTATGTTATGTATGTGGTTTAAGTTCTGAAAGTAAATTTAAACAAGAAATATGTGAATTTTGTGTATTTATGAATGTATGTATGAATAATGTCAAAATTTGTAAGAATTACTCATAAGATAGTTAATGGGAAACACATACATAAATCTAAACAAAACAATTAATGCAGACAATTCCTAGAGAAGTACTACAATAATGAAAGTTAAGTCTAATAACTTGGTGGTAATTTCATTCTATCACAAAAGAATAATTCATTACTAAGCAATCAAAAAACAAATAATAAAAAATTAAAAGGAAATGAAACTTATAACAAAAGCACTTATTTCTGGCAATAAACACTTTCCTCTTCCAGACTTCTCTTTCATTTGCCAATACATTTCGAACAGGCATAATTAACGAAGTTAAGGCAATGCAATTTTTGCCCTCAAGGCCATCTGTAACTACATTATCTCTATTATTCTATTGTCTTTAACCTGATTCTGTGATATTGCTATTCTTTAATATCACATAATACAATCTTCACCCATGATTATGTTAAGTAATGAAGGGAAAAGAATTTGAGAAATATGACATTAAAGTAGCATCATTAACTATAAAAATCACAATAACAATATACGCAGCACAATAACAATAGAAGCTGCATTGTAAGTGTAACTATAGCTAGTCTTCTTTCAAGACGTGCTTCTTTTGTCTCGTAATTGTAAATGACAGCTAGGCTAGTTGAGACTGGCTGGTACAAAATATGTAACATTGATTAACAATTCTCTTAATATGACAGTTGTAGCACCTATGTTGATAATTGGTGTGGAAAGGAGAAGGTACAGGTGGTTGTATTCATAATGGCGATTGTGGATGTGGTGGCGATAATGATGGTAATGGGTGTGGTGATGAGTTTGATGATGGTGACAATGACGATGAGTATGGTGGAGACTGTGATGACAGTGTTGATGGTGACGTCGATGGTGGTGGTGATGGTAACGATGGTGGTGGTGGTGGTGGTGGTAATGGTGATGGCAATGATGGTGATGATGGTGGTGGTGGTGGTGGTGGTGATGGTGGTGGTTGTGATTGTGGATAGGAAGATGGTGCCTGAGGATGAAAATAATAATGAAGATCATGATGTCTACAAAAAATGATGAATTTGAAGAGGGTGATAATGTTTTAGGAATGACAACAAATAAAACCCATTTGAAATATATGAGAACTTTGTTTCTAGAGAAAAAATCAAGTACACCTTCACTTCATAAATAGTACGACTATAAAAAAGTTTCACATGATACAGGAGTGTAAATGGTGTTGAATGAGATGAAAGTTTAGTTTAAGGCTGAATGAATTATCATTAACAGCACAAATATCAAATTGTAATTGAATATATTGTAGAATGAATTATTGATATTTTTACATTCAATTAATGAATGAGCATGGCAAATGTATCACCTTCATTAAGCATCTCAAAAGAAGATGCAATCATTCAATGCTTACATCAAAACGAGTGATAATCCAAACACTCAGATGAATCACAGAGAATAACAACATTCTGTAATATTATAAGAAATAACTATGATATCTGGCTGCTTTCTTAGCAGAATAAATTACAGTGGGGGCACAGAAGGATGGAATTTCTTCTTCTCATCAGTGTCAAGTCGAGCTTGATCAATAGTAGATGCTGTTGGGAGGCCGCAAGGCAACTCCAAAAGATCAGTTTCAAACTGCATTATGTTCTCTGCTTCAGCTGCAACACAATAATGGTATAATGATATTTTTGATCATATAGTATGATATGTCGTAGACAGAGTGATGTTTAATGATGCTCGACTTTTAATATAGTTTCCTGTGCTGTTTAAACAGTTACTGAAAGAGCCAAAATTGGAGCACATAATGAAACTAAAAAGACAACACATAGATTAGAAGACAAATGTAGAGCTCAGGATATACAGGTATTCTCCTTCATTTGATTCGTGCCTCATTTTGCATGTGTTGTATGGTAACATGTGATGAAAAGCAATGTTTTGAAAACGTTTTTTTGAAAACTAATGTGATATTGAAGTTTTTTGAAACAAAGATAGCAAATTTAGGAAATACTGGATATTGGTATAACACTAGGGTATAAATTTTTTATCTTCAATTACAAGCAAATTTAGTAGTAAGTATTTCAAATTGGGAGGGCAGCATGATACTAGTATGAAACCAATCAGATGATATTTTGACATAACCAAAATATAGTAATTATTTCAGTAATTGAATATTTTCATTTATAAGGTAATATATAACTACATTATCTTTTCTCTTGCCCTGATTATACATTAAGATGCTCTAGCACTGAGACTCTAACAAGAAATAAAAAAATATCAATAAAATCACATTATTGTAATTATTAACACAGATTCATGCATATCCATGCATGCTTACACACGCAAACACACACACCCACACACTCTCTCACGCACTTTCACTCTCACACACACATGCATCAAAAAAAAAAGTTCGCAGGCCCAAAGACTTGACATGTTTCTCAATGTATTATGATGCGCTGAATCTGAATCCAGAATTTTTGCACTGCCCTCCATTTTTTTAATTGCGAAAAAACACTGTGAAATTGTATTTTTTGTTTTTGAGGGTTGTTTTCAGATCCAAAGACTTGACACATGCTTCTCTATGTATGTCAACATGCTAAATCCGAATCTGAAACCAAGAATTGTGCCACTATCTTCCAATATCTTTTAAATAACAGAAAAACATTGTGAAATATTGTTTTTGTTTTTGTTTTCGGGGGTTGTTGTCAACCCAGTACTTGATGTATGTTGACTGAATCCAAATCTGAAGCCAGAATTCCACCATCACACTTCAGTATTTTTAAATTGCAAAAAACTACTATGAAATGGTGGATTGTTAATTTCAAGGTTGTTTTTTTTACAATAAAAAAAGTGTTTTTTCTATATTTAAAAAACTGAAGGGTTTTGGCATGATTCAAGTCACTATGTTTTTTGTGATAAAAAAATTGAAAGGTGATGGCGCAATTCTGACTTTAGATTTGCATTCAGCATGTCCAAATGCATAGAGAAACATGTGTCAGGTCTTTGGGTCTGACTTTTTTCGGCTGCTTGTGTAATTTATACTAGTGTAATAATTACTGATTAAAACAATGTCAAAATATTGCCTCACTAATATCACAACTACAATTAATTTTAAGTAATAAGTGTGCATCTTCTTAATACAAAAATTAATATCTTAATATTTTAATGACATCACTCAATAGATATCTTTTGTACAAACAATTCAATATCACATTATATTCAAAAAAAGAAGAAAAAATCAAAACAACAGGTATTAACACAAGTTGCCATTCAAGTTAGAGTAAGGGATGCTAAAAATGGCAGAAGAGAAAACTTATCTTTCCAGATAAATGCTCAAAGTCACGAAGACAGTGAGACAGTCTGAGACAATTTTCATGGCTTTAATAAATAAATGGATATTGAGAAAACTATTGGATACTGAGAAGAAAAAAACAACAGCAGAGATACAACAGCTCATACTTTATTGCATTATTTCTAGCTTTTGAAATTTTCACAAATTCAGAGAGTAAAAAAATGAGATCAGCACTATTTATGTAAGCATCCATTGTTCTATCCATGGAAAGAAATTGAAGAAAAAATTGGGACAAAATTGGGTTTTTGAGAATTTTTTTTCATAATTTGCATTAATTTAAAGCAGAAATTATGCGAAAACTATTTGTTTTCATTTTTTCCAAAAAATTGTAAAAGACCTTTCTTAAAGATCTGTTTTTTTTAAATTATCTGAATGGTTTAAGGCCTCAACACACATACTAATTTAACGGACAGACAAGCCAAGAAATCCGACAAATTGTATCGTGTGGAATCAAGTTGTTCAACGGAAATTTTTGTTGGGCGGGGGTTCCGACCACACGGCCGTCGACTCCCCACCGCCCTACAAATTGTATAGTGGGTAGCAGTGTTAGGCCAACCTACGCTAGTTCAAATATGAAATAGTTCTATTATGGGAGTAGTTTCATGCACAAAACTGTTTTGGAGGTCGCTGATTACGAAAATGAAATCGAAAATATCTAAAATAAAACTGCAGATCCAATACGGTACAAACAAATACGAGATATAATGTACATTTCTTTTCAAAATCAAAATGACTATTTGTGACTGTAATGAGCTTTTGTATATGCATTTCGATTCATATTTGCAAAATAAAATTAAGTTGAATGGGAAAATCTTGTAACAATTATTTTATATAGCATATTTAGAAAGGTTTACTAAGTTCACGCACTCTTACCATATTTTCGTCTCTATTACAGTGCCAACTCGGTAGGTGAAAATCAGGCTGAAGTGCTATCCCCAGTAGGAAGCTTAATTAGTTCGGCATTTAAATTACTTCCTGTACATCGGCGCGGGGTCCAAGAATGTCAAGGGGACCAATGAACTCCAATGCATCCCATAAATTTATTATAATTTGAAAATTTCTTTCATTCATTTTTATCGTACCTACAATATCTTTTTTTCAATTTTGCAAGTTAATGTATTTTTAATTTCACGTGCATGTCACAGTGGGTGTCATATTGTGATCCCGTGAATCTGGAAAAGCGGACTAACAGCTGTTGTGAACAGTCGAGCGTCATAGGACCGATCAAGCCAACGCTTATCTAAATATGTTAATACTGTTAGATATAACTAGTAATGCGTCAACAACACATTCTTTCTCGCATTATTGCTTACCTCAAGGCCATATTATAACACAATATGAACATGAAATGGTGTATCAAATCAGCAATTTGTTTTTCTCCGCGTTGAGATTCGATCTCAGATCCTTTGAGTTAAAACGTCCGGCACGTCACCTCTAAACCACGTTAGACTAAATTTTTACGACGCTTAAAGAAAAGTTGACCATTTGCATTTGTAATTTTAAAAAATTCAGAGTTTTCATTATATTATTTCAAGACCTAGTTTCATGGAACAAGAAAAAAATCTCTAGCAGCAATATTATAGTTTTGCAATGTTAGCTTTTTGTTTGTAATTTTTGAAAAGAAAGTTCGCCGAATATAGAACCAGCATTATTTTTAAGCGTCATTTGCTCTATCCAAAGGGGGGGGGGGGAAACCAAACAAACAATTTGGAGCTGTTTTTGTGAATTTTTCAAAAATAAACTGCATTAACTTCAAACAAAAAATACACAAAAATTACTCGCTTTTTTAAAAAATTGCACAAAAATTGCCTTCCTTAAATATCTATGTTTTTCTTTCTCGACTTACTACATTTTGACTAATTTTGGAGAAAATCGTCTGAACGGGTGAACGGTCAGACACACAGACACAGAGGCAGGCAGGCAGATGGACGGACGGACAGATGGATCTTTTGAGGTCAATCAATTTTTCGGTATCAAGGGCCCACAAAACGTGGATTCTGAATACACAACTTCGAGGAAGTCTTTTTTTATATGGAATTTACACGCTTTTATTATACCACAGCCCCATTTTACGAGTTTTCTGTTGAAAAATCGCCGATTTTTGTCGCAGCATTCCCGAAATTGTTCTCTTTACAAAATACGTAGTCAGGCGAGAAAGTAAAAATTGCTAAATCGAAAACTGTTTAACCCCAAAAAGGATATGTGCCAATCGGCAACAGACAAATCTGCCAACAGATCGGCAACAGACCCGACGACGCCGGTCGGCGGGACAGACGGGTACTAAAATGCGGTAAATTTTTTTAAATCCTAAATTCGAATGATTTGGACATCTTTGGAGCTTCATGTACTCATTGTTTCTTACATAACACTTCGTGAACAACACGCTCCCACCACCACAAACAACACCAATATGTTGGGGACGAAATATTACTAAAACTCGCAAAGACAAACTGACAGTAAAAATTAAATGTCTAAATAATAAGAAAATACCAGTCTGCCACTGTTTAGATAAGACAGGAATGCACAAGCCATAGTTAAAGTTGTCAATGGACGCCACAACCTGCAGCGAGAAATGTCATCGGCGATTGAAAATATACGACTGCAGACAAGCATAGTAGTGGCTAACTAAACCTAAATATCTTTATTTTAAGCAAATATCATTTTGCCACTATTCTGATGGCACAGCAATGCAAAAATCGTAGTGGCAGTTGCAGGGCCTGTTTTAGTTACTGCGGGAACTCCAAGCACAAGATCGTTTTGCGACACCCCTCCAGAAAAAAGATCCTCCTACTTAAAACATAACACTGGTTACTATAAAAAATAAATTTTTGTTTAATAAAAATAAAAAAAACTGCATACAGAGTTCAACGTTATTTTTTTAAATGCAATTTAAATTTTTTTTAAAGTTATTGTGTTATTAATACTAGACTAATTGAAGACATCATTTTTAAAAAAATTCAAATACAGTGGAACTGTTTTTTAAATATCATTTTCAAATACAACCTTTTTAATATAGTATAATTGTTTCACAATTATTTTACAGATACAAACAAATTTCTTGTTCGAAAGCAAAAGCATCCGCGGCCGGGGTCATTAGCTACCCGGTAGACGCCGCGCCCTAAGCACAGATAAGAACGTAATATTTTATGACTTTTCGAATACTTCAATATTTTTATCGGAGGATAGCCCACACAATGGACTGCATATTTTGCTTATAGGTAAATCTGTCTCCAGGAAGTTGCCAAAGGCATTAGTCTCAAAAGAGACAAATGCCACCTGTTATTGTAAATATACTTTTATAAACTGTCACACCAAGACCATTCAAAATCAATAACTTAAACATTTTTAAAAAAAATATTAATTAGTTTAGATCTCACAGAGATATTCTCTGCAGTGCTGGCTCCAACTGACATCCACAGTCGTCAGTTCTTTCATGATTCATTAAAAAAAATGACAGGCTCGAAAAATAATGCAAAGAAAAAGATCATCAATTATATTCGTATTTATTTGCCGTTTTAGATAGTATTATTTCCAACAACATTATTATTTATTGCCTTCTAATTTAAAGAATAATACATACCTCTTAACCTATGTAACTTGTTTCCATATGCCATATCTGCTTGATATGCAGTTATGAAGGTGAGAGGCAGTAAAGGTATGAGTACACCAGGCTTCCTGGTACGACGAAAACTGTAACAAAATTGTTAGAAACTTCACATAGTTATAGATAATACAAAAAATATACTATGCATAATAATCACCATTTTGTCTAATATTATTAATAACTACATCAGCAAAAACGACTATACTGACAATTACAATGGCGTAGCTAACAACAGTAACAACTGAATAATAATAAGTTTAAAAGAGGAAACCACAGTGAACACAATAATTCAAACAAGTTTTAGCAATTTTAGAATTCCTAATTGTTGATATCCCATTAATCGCAAAATTTGTCAATGAGTAACCAAATTTTAACTTTATAATATAAGTAGGCAACTAAAGAGGTCGCAGTCACAATAAGAAAATATTGTTAGGAAATGATTGTGCTGATAAAATGTCCACTTTTCAATTAAAGGTTTTTTGTCTTTAAATTGCATATATTTGAAGACATTATATAATTTAAAGACATCCGGTCGGACGGTCGTGCGAGGGGCGCGCCCGGCAGATCACCATTAATTACTCGGAAGTTTGAAGAGCAATTAAATTATTTTGTATGTAATTAATTATCAATTAAATCGTTCTAAGAAGTGGCATATTTGGCCTCTACGTGGTAATTCGTGGGCCTTCATCTTCACTGTCGACTTTAATCACTTCGTACCGATGATGACCTTTGACTTCATTGATCTTGCATGGCCCGAGGTACTTCTGAGCTTTTTGCCCTGGCCCGAATTGCGCCCTCTTGATCACCACTAAATTATCCTCTCTGTAAGCCCTCGTCACGATGGGTATTTTTGTCATGGGTGGTCTTGTTTTCTTACTTGATTTTAAAAATATTCTCTTTCGAGTTGGCTATCAGGGTGACCCTTTCTTGTTGTTGTAGGTGTAGTTGTAGTTGTTGTTGTTGTTGTTGTTGTTGTTGTTGTTGTTGTTCTTCTTCTTCTTCTTCTTCTTCTAACATAAGATGTCAGTTTTGGATCTTCACGATATCACATCTTCACGCCGAACAGAACCTCGAATGGGTCCATTCTGATGCTGCGCTGGATAGTGCTGTTCAGACAAATCTTGACCGCATTGACGTCGATATCATCGATCTGGGTCTACCGACGATAATTTGGTTGAAACGGGAATAATAATATGGTTAATTCGCTCGACCTGCCCATCCCCGCGAGTAAAACCGGTGAAGTTCAAAATGTGATCGATATGTTCACGTGCATAGAATTCCCTGAAATGATCTGATGTTAGTTCCGCGATCGCTTACTATCCATCTACGAATACCAAATATCGGCTGCAACACATTAAACGTAGAAACTTCACTGGAAGTTCAAGTAGTAGTCGATTTGGTGGGGAAGATCCAGGTAAATTTGGAAAATCCATCGACGATCACTAATAAGTGTTTATACTGTTTCGCGGTAGCCGCCATCGGCGCTTTAGGGTACACAACCCCTAAATATACTCGTAGTTTAGATAAAGAAATATATTAAAATCTTTAGGACTTCAAAAGTCAGTGGACAACAGTTGTTAGTGGTTAAAGGTTAATAGACAACAGTTAATAGACAGGTTAATAAACCACAGTTAATAGAAAGGTTAATAGACTACAATTAATATTCATAGACAAGTTAAACACAATATTTAAACATACTCTACATAATGTTTCACATTTTACACTAGTATTACTGTAATGTCTGTCCGTGTAATTTAAATGTGAAATCAGTATAGAAAATGTCTAGACAAAAATTCTTTTACATGAAGTAAATTCAAAATTCCGTACTTGTACCATTTATTCAGGTTAAGTTCAGATCTTACGGCACCTCACGCTTGTATTCTGAGATCTCGTGTAATTACTTGGAATTTTGGAAAAGAAGTGATAAGTTATTTAATAAATTGTTTGTTCCAAAAGAGTTTTATTAAAAATGACTCGGGTATAATTAATAATATAAATAAATAAAAGTAAAATTAGATGGACGAAAGAGGTTAATCCAACCATATCAGACTCAACCATCACATTGAAAAACAAATGATAATACAAAAAACACTATAGGCTCAATAACTCATAAAATGTTGATTTTCAAAACCTTCCCTGTTAGAAGTAGAACCAAGAAAATACCCCTACCTTTGATTTCTGAGACCTTAATATTAAAATTCATCAGTCTGTCAATAGCAATGTTGAATTCAATATTTTCACTAGCGCCTATGGCATTGTTTTGGACAAATGAAATTACTTTCCAAAGAATAATTCAATTATTTTATCTTTCGTTTCTTTAACTGTTTGTTTATTCCTTGCTCTGCGTGACTACTTCCCCCTTCCTTTACACCCCTCCCCAATCAGACTGATTTCTATACTGATTATAGATTTTAAAAATATGTCATACCATAAGAGTTTTGTGGCATCATACTTTCCTCTCCCTGTTTACTCCTATTTAATTCTGTAATTGTATAATGTTATTCTAAAATCTAAATTTTATGAAAAAAACATTTATAATTATTAAAAAAAATCTGTATTACAGTAACCTGAAGATGCGGCCAATTGAGTCGATAAACGTCGTGGTTTATAGTCAAGATAACAAACATATGTAACTTAAAAAAGAACTGTTTTGATCGACATTAATAATAGATGGATACCACTGTATAAACATATTGAATTAGAAGACAATTATTTTTGGTCACCTCTGTTTAACATGCTTGATGACTTTTTGTAGAATTTTTCTTGAAATTACCAGAGAAGAAGGCAGATTGAGATCAAACATATTGCTTTGTCACCACAATTGCACATGGTTATCAAAAGAGTACTTAAGTATTGTGTTTTTAAAAGTGTCACTCGTACCCATTTTCTTCAGTGGCAAATAAGATCAATTTGGTGTTTTTCATGTAGGTTGAAGAAAAACTCCAATTTTGTGTAATTAAAATAACTAACTGTTCAATTTATTTTCCAATTCATCTGTATCTATGAGGGAAAATGACAATATTGTCGTTAGTATTTTTATTAATGATAATAAATTACAAACTAGTTACAAATGCAAATCAATCAGAAGATATTGGAAAATATTTTTTTTCAAAACCACATGGCAGTATGAATAGGTATTTTATAACTGGGTTTGAATGGCAAACAAAAGATGCAGTCCAAGTTACGTATTTCTCAAAGTGCATTTGTAATGTATGATCATATTACTCAACTGTAATATGAAGGACCAGGAGAAAATCTGAGCCCCTGAACAAAGGTGAACAGGCCCTTATAAAACATGAACATTATTATATCTTTCTATTGATTACCTTTAGTACTAATTTACAATCCGCGCGCAGAAATTCAAAGAACTACCATTTAGCGTTCTGCCTTTTGAGATGTGTCTATGGTTTCGTTAGATACGCAGGAACTCAGGAGAAACACAAAACAATAAAACTGTTTTGATTTTGACTGAAAATGAAAATATCTAATAATGTCATTCCTACTCTTTTCATGCAACGCGTACCAACTGAATTCTCAAAATCAGTGCGGCACTACTTATGACTCAATAGCCAACTCCAAGGAAGACGAAGCCCCTATTAAATATTTCTTATTCACGTATTGCGTTATGGAACAGAAACTTTTTATATTGTTGGTATGTAAATAACTGTTATAGGGCGTATCCGAATATACTAGACTATGTTTTTGCAGTATTCGTGAAGATTGTTTTTGTCAAAATATTTTTTGTATTGTAGCATTACAAATATTTTTTTCGTTACAAGAATTCGTTTATAAAGTGATATCTTATAGCACAGATTATGACGTATTATCCGTTTATGGCACGAATAATTGTGTCATCACACATTCAGCTAATGGCAGCGATTCCCTCAAGCGTGGGAGGTAGCGATAAACGGAACAGCCGACCACCGTTTTTTCGCCCAGATGACAAATACCCGTGACCTCACAATTAAGTTGTATCCACAAATTGACTCTGATTCTCTAATAATTTATAATGCTGTTAAACAGAAAATAACGTATGTAACTCGTTTATAAGCTTGCAATGTTGCATTCGTGCAAATTTAAAAACGCTCCAAATCCGCTAGTTTTTAAAAACATGTACTCGTGCAATAAAGCTGAGCATTATAAACTAGTTACGTAATATACCATAATTTAATGAAGTGATGTAAGTCAGTATGTTATTTGCTGTTCTTATGCTGTGTGTGTGCTAATTCTGGGAAAACCAGAATAATAGAAACCGCATAGCTTTCGTATAACATGGTTTGCAAATGCAAGAAAGATCATATTTGGATATTAAATGGCGGAAACATAGACAGTAGGAAACAGATAAAATACAGTATCGACATGTATTTTTATAAATACTTTTAATGAAAGTTATGGGAACTTATTTATGGTATTTTTTAACTTAATTTGGTAAATTTTAATAAGGGAACAATTATGGAATGATTTTTTTAACATGCAGTTATCCAAAATTCATAAACTTCCTAGCAAACACTTTCCAGTCGAAACTCAGCAATGTTTTGAAATTACCCTCAGAGTTCAGGCATTCATGGAAGCTGGGTTCAGCTTGCTCGGTTCAGATTCAAACTCTCTGAAACTTGAATTCCAAAGTACTTAAGTGCCAATACATAATTTTAATACAATCGCAGGAAATCTATGAACATTGGAAACAATCAGCCGTTATTTCAACACCACCTCCACCACTTTATAGTGGTCATAACCACAATTTCGTTGATTTATTATGTTCATCTGGATGTATCTGATGTAGCTAAAAGCCGACACTTAACTATAATTTGCCCAAATTTGCGTTTATGCTACTGTGTTATCGGATCAGAGATATTTGCTTAGACTCTAAAAGAAATTTGCAATATGCTCAAGCACTTTTCACTGACACTTTTCAATATTACAATGCGGGGTCATTTTCCAAATAAATTGCCGACCAGAAAATGTGAAACGTATGCAAAGAGACTGGTTTTAGAACTAGCCAGCAGAAAAAAACAGATAATACGTCATTTTGATCAAGAAATGACACGATATACTGAGTCCCAATAAATGACTCCAAACTATTTTA